ACTATATAGCCGTCATCTCCATGGTCTAAAACCCTTGTACATTTAATAGGAATGCCACCTTTTTCCATAAATTTTTGACGGTTGCGATCATACTGTTTGCCTTCACGAGACTCATTATTGCTTTTTTTGGCTCTCTTTCGAGCAATACTGATTTTTCCCAATAACTGTATCAGAATTGTAAAACTTAAGGAAACTATCGCATCTAATAAGCTGCAAATGCCAAAACTGGAATAAATAGATGACAGCAAACTAGAATAACTCTAGACTGGAAACGGCTAAAAAGAGAGAATTCGTTTACTTATGAGAGGCGGCGCTCTTTTCTTTCGTTGTTATATCCCTTATTTAGTGTTAGAACTGAAGAGTTCTAAAAATAATAATGAATTAAAATAAAAACTTTCTAGACCCGAAAACAATGGAAAAAAAGAACGACGTGGACGGGGATTGGACCTGTGACCGCTCGTTCTAGACGTAAATGCCTGTAGCAAATAGGCCACACACGTCACTACTGAAAAGATTGTTTTTTTTATAGTGATAAAATATCTTTTATAGAATGAGCAGTCCAACTTTCGGCATATTTCACTTTTGGACTCGTTTAATTAGAGTTTCTAGCACCCTATTAATAAATTATACTGTTTTGCACAGAATTTTGTACTCATTCCGAATTTCACACTTTTAGCCAACGGGAACATACACTTTTAGATATATCCTAAATTTAAAAATTTAAATGTGTGAAAGACTTTGAAACTTTAGTTCCAATTTCATTCGACAGCTTGCATGAAACTATACAAGAAAAATCTTTTTTCGTCCCTTCAACCACTTTCTCAACTTCACATCAGCAAACCGCATCTCCCGCCAAAGAAAGTTTAGATCTCAAACTTAAGATTCAAGAAAATAATAATGTTTTTCCTATTTTTCAGTAACTAAGTGGCAGTCGATTACATCATGTTTTACTCGGACTTTTCTTCGAGAACATGATCTAATCAAGCTAAGATCAAAGATTCTGCATAGAGAACTAAGATATTGAAGAACTCATTTTCAGTTCTCTCAACACCAAATATTTTACCGTGAGGCTATCTAAAAAAAGGGTTATTAGAACATGTGAGACGCGGAGGAAAATTTTGGTTACACCATGTTTTACTCGAACTTTTCTTCGAGAACATGATGCAACCAAGTCTCGCGATAAAGATTCTCTAATGATAAGAAAAAATCGTTCTTCTAAAACTTCTTTTATACTTCTTTGTCAAGGTCTTGGCCTTAAGAAGGGCAGAAATCTTATTTTTTCATCTCTTGAAAGCTCATTTCTTGCCACAAGAACACTAAAAAACACAACTTTTATGGACAAGAAAACTCGTCTTGAATGAATTTTTCTTATGATAGTTAGGATTGTGATTTCATCATGTTTTACCCGGTTTTCTCATCGGGAACATGATACAATACATCTCAAAAATAGTTAGAATTTGAGCTCAAAATAAGTACACGCAATTCTATTCACATCTCTCTGCCAGTCCGTTGTCACTTGCCCGATCGGAAAATGTTGCTCGAACGAGCAACTTGCCCGATCAGGCAAGATGCTATCTTGGAAACCATAGGTCCTCTAACGGGTGGCAAGTGCTTATTCTTCTTCTTGCACGTTGTATATTCATTGTGCATCAAAATTCCAAAATTCAAAATGTTCCATCTTTTTCCTTTCTCATGGGAGAAATGGAAAACAAATTTAGCTCAATATCGTCCATTTTATCTTTCCTAATCTGGCAATATTGCTAATTCGAGCAAGGTCAGTATTGCCCGTTTCGGCAATATATCTTGTCAGATATATTGATTGATCTACATACATTTATTTGTACTTTACGCACATTTATATGTGTACGAAGCCTTACTAGAAAGTTTTTTTTATATAAGTACATAGGAAGGTTAAGTGTAGCAAGAATTGCGATTTATGATAAATAGAACTCTGTCAAATAAGTGTGAACGTATCTGATAAATTTCATGAGTGCTTCACTTTGTATTCATCTGTAGTCATTCTCTAGCTTTGTACTTGTATAGACAAAGTTCTTTCTTTTCTTTGTTTTCGTTACGTGAATAACAATGAGAAAAAACAGAGTGTATATACACATGTACATATATGTTGTAGGCAAACTTGGAATCCAGGCAAATTCCGAATTTGCCTAGGCAAAATTAGAATTCCAAGTTTGCCTGGGCAAAATTGGAATTCTAACTTTGACTAGAGTTTCTTTAGGCAAAATTAGAATTCCAAGCTTGCCTGGGCAAAATTAGAATTCTAAGTTTGACTAAGTCAGGCAAAATTAGAATTTAGGCAAAATTGGAATTAGAATGGAAAAAAACATAGATCATGGCTAACGAAGTCACAAAATTGATGATATATGCTAAAATCATGCTCTTACGAATGAATACAACGTTGTACAACGTGCAATAAAACTAACTAACATGTATTGAAGAAGATTTTTTTGATCAAAAACTTTTACACTATGTACACTTTAAGACACATGACACACTATTCTCCCATATTCTGACAAGCTCCTCGCTTTGAATGACATTTTGTCGAACATGATACATTAGCTTTTTTACATGGACAGTGCTTTGTGGCACATTTTGATTTACAATCACATGTACTTCCGCTTACTGCCCCACGTACATAAAGTTTGCATGCTTCGATAAACGAAATATCTTTTAATTCATGAACATTAAGCTGTTTTAATTCTTGTGGACAAGCTGATTTTAAATCTACAAAATTCTCAACTGAGAATGCATTCTGTAGTTTACCGTATTGACAAACTAATTTGAAAACAAGATCATCATTTTTTTTGGTTTTTTCAAGGATTAAGCAGGGTAAAAGTTTTGCGTCTGTATTTGTACGATCAACTGTATGGATTTGAACGCCTACACAATCATTTACATTAAACTTTTCTGTTAAATTATTTAAATAAACATGATGCAATTTAACCTTTTTATTTGCGGTATTTAAGTAATTATCAGTAGCAGTTTTACGTATAAGATCATGACGTGATGAATTAGAAGAACATGCAGAAATATTAGTGTTGGTCGAAACTGGTAATGAATTACTAGAAGAAGCTTGCGTTGTAGAAGAATCAAGATCAAAAGAAGAAGTGATTGGCTGAGAAGCTACAACATTTATACCTGACCATGAAAGAAAACTAGGAGAAGTAATTTCATCTAAAATACTTATTGCGGATTGTGTATATGGTACAGTTGAAGATGAAGAAGCAATATCGGTATTAGAACATGTTAAAAGCGAATCAACATCTTGAAGACAATCGAGTAAATTATTTCTATTTGAATTATGTTCATTATTAGAATTAAAGCTATTTTTTACTGGTGAACCGAAAGAAATAAGATCATTTGTGAATGAGTTATTTATATCACATGTGGAAGTAAAACCTGCTGTATTATAGTCTGGTGATAACAGACCAACTATAGAATTAGAAACAACATCGTCCGTTAACTTTTCAACAAGTGGAATTACGTCGCTATCAACAAGATCAGCCGTATCGTCTTTTCGATCAACAACTGTACCATCCATATCAGCCACTGGTGTTGGTAAATCATCCTCATCATCAATGTTATTTTGATCAACAAGTTTCCAAAATTCAGAATCCGAGCGAGGCGGCTGACCAAACATGACTTCATATGGTGTTTTCTTTGTGACACACGAAACTCTTGTATTAATTCCATAGACCACAGGTAAAAGACCTTCTGACCAGTGAATGGAGTTGTTTGTTGTCAACCATTTTCCAAGAGCATCACAAAGTACACCATTTGCTCGTTCGATACAACCTTGACTTTGAGGATGGCGAGGACGTCCTCGTATAAAACAAAGATCAGGAAACAATTTTTTTAATTCAGTTATAACGCTAGCAACAAACTCCTTTCCGTTATCACTATGAAGCAATCGTGGTGGACCAAAAACAAAAAATAATTCTCTCAATTTAA